TTTTAATAGGAGATTTTTCAATTTATTAAAGAAAATTAAGCGGTTAATAAACCCTTTTCGAAAATATATAATTATATTTCGATGCTACCTCTTTTTTATTAGAAGGCGATTACGCTTACGCTTATTAATATTATTATTATTTAGCCGGCTATTAGGGCCTTAGTTTTTCTTATTACCCTAGCCCTAATTTTAATTTTATACGCGGCGCGCCGTTACGGTTTTTTAATTGAATACAATTATTATAATTATTAGGAAGCTATAGTTAATTATTATTATAATATAAAAATTTAAGAAATTTATAAAGAAAAGATTATTACCCTTCGTATTTAGATAAAAAATAATATTAATTAATATTTTTAATTAATTTATTTTAAAGGAATTGCTTTTTTATCCGTTTAATACGATACGGTGAAATTTAACGTTTAATTCGACGAAGAATAAGCCTACGACGATATTTACGCTAATTACTATAATAAAATTAATATTACAATTTATTTTTATAATTAGATTAATTAATTATAAGAGTAGGAATATATTATAATTATTAATAAATATTTTAAAATCGATAAATATATTAACTTTAAAATATAGAAGACCAATTTTTTTAATATAATAAATAAATTTAATAATTCCCTTTTTGAAAATTAGGTTATATCCTTTAAAATTATAGATAAGAGGCTTCTAAATAATAATTTTACTTATTTTAGTTTAATTTACAATTTTAAGGAACGGGTTTATAATTATTATTTTAAAAAATTGCGTAATTAAATTTTAAAAGGTAATGCGTTTCCTACCCCTATATTTAATAATCGAATTATAGGGGACGTTTTTAATAATATTAATAAGAAGCGCGGTTAAAGTATTAATAATTAGGATAATAAATACTAAAGGCGAGTTTGCGAAGCTTACGAAAAATTTAGTTATTTTTATAATAAGTATTAATATATAATCCCCTCTTTAGCATTTAATTCTAATTAGGTTCTTAATTAACGTATTTAGGGTATAATTAACGAAAATTATTAAAAAAATGTTTAATTTACGTAAAGGTTCCGTAAATTAAATATTAGAATTGTATTAATATAATAGATTCTTATTAAAAGGTTAATAAAATTTATAATTAATACCCTTAGTAGCGGACTTTAATTTAAAAGTCGGAGGATTAATAAAATTAATTATTAATCCAATTTTTTAATATTAAAATTTCGATAAAAAGCTCCCGTATATTTATTAAGAGATTTAATTATTTTTAATTTAAATACGATAATTTATATTTTTAACGAAATTAGCCGTTTTAAAAATTTTACCCTTATAAATAAAGGAAATTATATTTAGGTTAATAATAGTTTATTAATAATTGAGGGATACGGGACCGTTTATATCCTAATTAACGATAATAGGGGTAATTTCTTTAAATTTCGTTTAGACGACGTAGCGTTAATTCTAAGTATAATTTACAATTTTATATTTCTTCGAAAGTTTATAGAATTCGATTACTTTTAGAATATTATTAATTCTTATATTCGCGCCCCCGATCTTTCTTATTATTATTCTATTTCTAATTATTTTTAGTAATTTGTTTTTAAATATATCCTTTTTAATTCTAAAGATAACGTTAACTAATCCTTTTTTAACGTTCGAACTCTTTAGAGTAAAACCGTTAAAAAAACCCTAAAAAGGAAATACCTTACGTTAGTACTTTAAGTTTGGCTACTTTAAATTCGAAACCTTTATTTAATTAATTAATAAGGAATATAATATACGTTTTAAAAATTTAGATTTAGTATATTATAATATATATATAATAGTTAAATTAAAACGTTAGGTTAGGAAAGCTACTTGCGTTGCGTTTAAAAGATTAGGATAAAAGGTAGTTACCGATTTTTTCGAATATATTTTAATAAAGGTAAAGTTTAATTAGGTTTTTATATTAATAATAGTAATTAATTGCTAATTTAGTTACTTTTGGGTATATTATTTTATTAAGAAAATTATTAATTTTATTATTATAATTTTATTTTCCTTTATTACTAATTTGAAGATTTAGTATTAAATTTAGGTATAGGTGGTCGAATATAATAATAAAATTACGATAATTAAATTTAGGGTTATTACCTTTCTATTATAGTAGGGTATTAAGGTCGAGCCTTCCGCGCTGTATATTTAAGTATAGAATGGCGGCGTTGAGCGTTCGGGGGGTATATTTAACGAGAAAGTTAAAATTATAAGAGAATTTATAAACCTTTTAAAAGAATTTTAGAAAGAGATTATAACGGTTATAATTTATTTTTTTAATAAAACTCCTAAGTACGGTTTTAATTAGAAAACCTTAGAGGAACGTTTTAAAGCCTATATAATAGACCGCGACGGCGGCTAGTAAAAGGTAATTTCCGCTTTAATATATTTGAAAATTTATAATTGTAAAGCTTTTACGCTTATAATAGAAATCCTATACGATTATAATAAAATTAGGAAGTTTAAAAAACGTGCCTAGGTTAATTATTTAATCGGTTATTAATTATTAAATATTTATTAAATTTAGAATCCTTATATTAATTTAATTATAATAATTAGAAATATAATTTTTAACGAAGATAAGGTTTTTATAAATAATACTAAGAAATTTTAAAATTCGTTTAAAATTTCCTTAAAAAAATTAGCCGTATAATTAAATAATTTTTATTAATTAAAAAATAATTTTATTATACTTTTCCTAATTTTAGAGAATTATACCGACGATAAATTAGATAATTTCGGTTTAATTATCGAACCTATACCTACGGAATTAAAAACCCCTACAATCCCTACCGAGCCCGCCGGGTATATATATAAATAAAAGGAGGAAATACTACGTTTTTAAATATTAGAGCGATTGGATAATTAGTAGGATACGGTAATAAATAAAATGGATAAGCTAATTAATTATAATTTACCGATTCCCCTTAATAATTTAATTTCGTTTTTTATTAAAAATTTAAACCGCGTCCCTTTAATATAACCTCTTACCTACTTCCCCCGAGCGGATTAATATTTATATTAGGTAATATTTTTTTTAAATGCGTTTAATTTTTATTAAATTAGTATATATAACGGTCGTATTATTAATTGTATTGGTTTAGATTAATTAAAGAAATTCGGGTTGGAAATCGATAACGACGATTTTTATACGGATTCGAAGCTTACCGTCGATAACGTTAAAAGGTATAATATATTAAATATATTAAATACTTTATACCGGCGAGAATTCCCCCTTCTATTTAAAAATTACCGAAACTTTTATTTCTATTTTTTTTAAAAGATATTTCGTTAAATTAAAAGGGAATATTTTTAGGATTATAATATAAAGGGATTATAGAGGTAAATAAATTAAAAAGAATATTAAAGAATTATCCCCCTCGATTTTATATAAATATATATTTATAAATTTAACGTAGCGGATTACTATTTTAAAAGTAAGGTACGCTTTATTATAAAAGGAAATTAATAATTTTAAAATTTATAAAATACTTATATAATTATTTTAGCGATTTATACCTTCCGTATTATAATAATTATTACGGGTTATTTTAATTTCGAATTTAAATAATATAATATTATTAACGCTTTCGTTAACGCCCTTTTCGATAAATTTATTTATATACGAATATTATTAAGATATATCTAATAAAGTAAGGTTATTAGGTTATTACGCGCTTTCTATAGTCTTCGGCGCTCCCTTTTGCTATAGTAATACGAGTTTATTAAAATTCTTATTATTATTAATTTAATCCCTATCCTTATAGAATTTTGTATATTTATTTATTAAAATATAGTAGTCTTCTTCTACGTCGATAATATTATTTTTACCTATTGAAATGAGGATAAATATAACGTTATTAGAATTATTAACGTTCTAAAAGGTTACTATTAATTAACGGGTAGTAATAATATTTAATAGTTTTTAAGTATTAAAATTATTCGAAATTGAATAAGGCGGTTAATTTGATTATTTTAACGCGAATATATTAAAAAGATTATAGAAAAGTTTTAATAATCTTGGTCGTTTCCTTAGACTCTTATAAATATTAAAGAGCTCCTCCCTTCTAAAGGTATTATTAACTTCAAATCCGTTAAAATATATTAAAAAGTAATCGGCGAAATTATATATACGTTAATTATTACTAAACCCGACGGCGTTTTTACTAATTCTAAATTATCCCGTTTCCTTACTAATTTTAACGGTATTTATTATATTACCGCTAACCGATTATTCGCCTATTTTAAAGGTACCGAAAATTATATACTTTAATTAGAAAGTAGTAATTTATTTTTAATTTTAATTAACGCCTCCTATATTAATAATATTCTAGATCGACGAAATTTATAAGGATTCGCTATATAATTATTAAGTAGAATTATCGATTAGCGAATTAATAAATAGGATACCGTTATTATTTTTATTACCGAAGTTAAATTATTATCCTTATTATAAAAGGTTTATAAAAGTTTATAGGTAAAACGCTTATTCGATTCGCTAATTTTCAATTTGGGAATTAATAATGAAAGTATTTTACTAGGATATAATAACGCTTAAACGATCCGTTTAATTATTAAAGAAAACGTTAAACTTTAAATTAAATTTAAATATATTAATATTTATAATTATTAATTCCAAGAGGGATAGTAGTACGGTATATTTAATATATATTATGTATTTATAACCGAAATAGTCGCCGATAGGTTAATAAAGGTATTAATTATAAAGAAATATAAGGAATTTATTCGTTAAATAAATTTTATAAATATTTCGAATCTAAGGAAGGAGAAGGAAAGGGTATTAAAACTAATTAACGCGAATATATTAATAATTTAATTCCGGCGGGGATAAAATATTTTAAAAAGGTAAAAAAGAAGGATAGTATTATTATAGGTAATTATCGATTTATATTATTTTATTAAAATAACTTTTATAAAATAAAAGGATCCTATATAATATTTATAAGAAGGAAAAAAGGTAAAAAGTTTAGCGCCGACGGGATTTGAACCCGCGACTTTTAAGGATAGTTATTAAGGATAATTTAGGGAGTATATTATTAAGTATAATTTAAAAATATTATATAATAATCTAATATAAAACCTTAACGCTTTAATTATTAAACTATAGCGCCCGGTTAATTATTAAAAATTAATACCGTAGACCTTTTAAATATAGTACGATTAATAGGCGATACCTTTAAAGGCGATTATTTAGGGATTCCTCAATTTTAAGGGTGTAGAATTTGGGAATAGCTTTATTTAAGCGCTTTTAATTAGTTTTTTAGTATACGTTAATATAGTTGGGGGGGTATATTAAATATAAGGGGTGGGTTTCCTACTACCGCCTTTCTTATGTAATTTAGATTGTTCGGTAAAACCCTGATTTCTGTGTGCGGGATTTCCTGGCCACAGAACAGATTCTACACAATATACACTCTGCACCCTCATTCTTAATACCCCTGTATTGCTGCTATTCTACACAATGGCACCGCACCCGGCAGTCCAGCCCCACTTACCCGTATCCACCATCTCCACCTGCCCTGGAGGTGCCTGCCTTGCCTGCCCACTGACTGCAGAAGTGTCAAGTGCAGGTGGAAGTGGAAGTGAGATGCAACTTGCTTCGTTCGTTCCTCCCCATTCAGAACCCAGACTCGAGAGTCGGACACACTTCCGTCTCGTCTTCCAAAACTTAAGTGTATGTGCCTGCCCTGTGTGCGTGTGTGTGTGGTGCAGCAAGCAACAGCCGCCCGACAGCAGTCAACTCAAGCAGGCAGTTCCTCTTTTTTCGGGATCGAATCGATTGCAGTGACATATGCTCCCCTGAACTCTGCGTCCTTCCAAAAACTTGTAGGTTGTCTCCAATTTCCCATCTGGCATCTGCAGATAGACCGGGTGTTCCCCGCCCACCCGCCCGCCGTCCGACCGTCAGCAGCACCTCAACACCGGACGACTTCAGATGACAGCAGCAGGAGCAGGAGCAGGAGCAGCAAGAAGCGAAGCAGCAAGCAGCAACAGCGCCGTGCATACAGTCTAATCCTTCCGACTTCATATCTCGGGTTGTTTGAGCCCGGTCAAGATAACCTCAAGTCAAGTCGTCGATAACGAGATTTGGTCAAACTATCGACGGCACCACTTCGATACGGCGACTCGCACGAGTTGGACCACAATTGGACACACAAGAAAGGAAGCCCAAAGCAAGCAATCCCCCGCGCCGCCCACCCAGTCGCCAACACCACACAAGTCACCCAGTCCCTCTTCAGAGTCTGCGCACTTGTAGCACCACCACGACGAAGAGCAACACCCTAGTTGCTTGCCCCCAGCAGCAGTTCCGTTACCAAGCACCTTACTGCTTGGACTATACCCGACCTTGGCCTGATCAATCGGGTGCCGTGTAAAGACCACAAAGCTAACGTCTGGTAACCACTTTCAAAGGTAGCGGGACCCTGACCTTATGATAAGCACTTTAAAGCTTCGGGATCATCCATCAACAAGAAATCGCCATATACAAGAGACTCGAGAGAGACGAGAAAACCAAAAAGCGACATAGCCAGATTCTATTCTAGTTCTGCCTACTTGTAGGTGGTCAAACCTTTTCTCTCAGGTCGCCCTAGGTTCCTCAACCTCCAAACCTTGTCCCCGCCAACCCAAGCATCGCCGGTCCGGGGTCTGTCTCTTTTTTCTAATACCTTGTACCTTCAACTTGTACACGATCCCACCACAAACCAAAGCGCAATTTTCGACCGGCATCAAGCTTCCAGGGTCCCGTCCCCTTCAATTGTCGACTTTTTTTTTGTATTGTCGTCCATTCTTGTGTGTCTGCGACCCTGGCCTGCCACCAGAACTTGCCAACCTATCCCGCCCGCCTCAATAACTGTTACCACCCCCCAATTCCCGTCTTTTCCTCCAAGTCTCGCCTGCTTTTGGTTGACCCGGCCCCCAGCCAAACCGCAGCGTGCGCCAGTACCGTACGTTGAATCATTCGTCCTTTCTTGTCTTTTCTTATTCTTAGTTACCCCATCTTTTGGCCCTATCTGCCCTCCGAGACTAGGGTTGGGTTTATTTTCGCAATGACCATGGACGGCCAGCTCTCCCTCCTCTCGTCCACCTCGTCCTCCTCCTCCACTCCGCATCGCAAAAGACTCACAAAGAAGCAACGCCCGCCATCCGCAAATCACCGCACTAGCTCCTCTTTCAATGTCGAATCGCTCCGTATTGACGCCCAATCTCTAGACAGCAAACGGAGCTCCTCCAGCCTGCGCCGGGGCACCAGCAGCACCCAATTCCAGAGCCCATTTCTGGCCAGGACCGTATCCGTCCCTGTCTCCGTCCCTTCAAACGCGCCCGCCAACAACGCCAAAGCCAGCGATCTCTCTTTGCCACGCTCCCACACCACTCGCTCTCAATCCGCAAATCGCCCTTACAATCCGACGCAGACAATACCAGCCAACGGCTTTATCCTCCCGCCTGCCTCGTCGCCGCATCAACAATCTCAACCGCAGCCTTATCCCAGCGCTGCCACCAGCACCACCGTTACTAGCTCCAGGAACAAGGACATATCCAAGCAGTACGACCCACTACAAGACTCCTGCATTGGATCCTTCGATCAAAACAAATCATCCACGGATGAACTGATTGGCGCTCCATTCGACGGCAAAGCCATTCTCAATCGAATCGAGGCGACAAAATTGTCAGCCGTGCCCGCGCCCGCGCCCGCGCCTACGACCACGACTCCGACTACATCCACGACTGCGCACTTCAACAACCTCTCTCCTCGCCGTATTGCCCCTCATCCTCCACCGCTCACTCTTTCGCGTTCAAACACGGACTCTAAAGTTGTGAGATCATCAAAATCGTCAAAGTCGCCTAAATCAGCTACGTCGAAAAAGACAATGGGCGCGTCGTCATTCCGCCAGTCGGCGAGTTTCTCGTCGGCTGAACAACTTCCACCCAGTGAAAAGACGTCCAAATCAGAGAGCAGCTCTTCGAGTAACAAGAGACACTCCGGTGATGGCAAAGAGTCCAGAGTTCCTGGCATGCTAAGGAAGAAGTCAGGCTTCTCCGGCTTCATGAACAGCTTGGTTGGGTCTCCGAAAAAGCCGTTGATCTCAGCACCAGAGAACCCTGTTCACGTAACACATGTTGGTTATGATAGCAATACCGGTCAATTCACGGTATGTTGGCATGGGCATCTAACGGGTGTTCAAAGTTCTTGATGGACTAATTTTTTGATAGGGTTTGCCAAAAGAATGGCAGCGTTTGATAAGCGAGAGCGGAATCACCGAGAAGGACAGAAGAGAACACCCTCAAATATTGGTTGATGTTCTTACATTCTACAAGGAGACGACAGAAAAGCCACAAGAAGATCAACAGCTAGAGAAGTTCCATGATGCACGAGCAGCAGATTTCCGCAGCCCGCCAGTGACCGGCACCACTCCTCTCGTACTACAAACAGGTGGTGGTTACGGCCATGGCCCCATGTCGCCAATGATCAGTCCGCCCGCTAGTCCTCGGTTTCCTCAAGTTGGCCATGAAGGCAGCTTTGAGAATCCCCGCGCGCCGCCGCCGGTACCCAAGGGCCCCGGTCCTCTCCCAGCAAAGGATATCAATCTGATCCCCAGCCGACCGGCACCAAAACCACCAGCAAACATCTCCACACGACCGCTCGTCCCCCCGACTTCATACCCTGCAAAGGATTCGGGCATTGGCATGCCACCACCCGGTGAGGAGCCGCCGATGCCATACCTCCCTCCCAAGGATAATGTCCAGCATCAGCATGTGTACCAGGAAGAGCACAGGAACAGGTCGAGATCCAACTCCAGGACAAACGGCGCTGCTCCATTTTCTCCCGTGCAGGCCTCGCCACTACTCCCGATCGCGGCGGCAAACCAGACCGCGGCATACCAACAGCAATTGTTGCAACATCAGCAAGAACAAGCCATGGCCCAAGCCCAGGCGGCAATGAATGGTCAACTAAGTCGAGCTGCGAGCAAGAGACAACAGCCCACCCCGCCTACCTCACAACACCAGCACCCTCGGCAACCAGACGTCAACGGGGCTCCTCGTATGCCTCAAGCCCAAGGCGCTGTTCCCCAAGCTAGCGCGAGGCCTCGTCACAGACCGCGGCAAAGTAACGCGATTGATGTCGTGGCCTCCCTCAAGAGGATTTGCTCTGACGGCGACCCGAGGGAGATTTACCGCGGGTTTACCAAGATTGGTCAGGGAGCCTCTGGTGGTGTATACACTGGCCATGAACGAGGAAGCAACAGACTGGTGGCCATCAAGCAGATGAATCTTGAGCAGCAGCCAAAGAAGGATCTTATCATCAACGAAATTTTAGTCATGAAGGAGAGCTCACACCCCAACATCGTCAACTTTATCGACAGTTACCTATGTGCCGGAGAACTGTGGGTGGTCATGGAGTACATGGAGGGTGGTAGCTTGACGGATGTTGTCACATTCAACATCATGACTGAAGGACAAATCGCGTCAGTTTGCCGAGAAACTCTCAGAGGCCTTCAACACCTGCACTCCAAGGGTGTCATCCACAGAGATATCAAGTCAGACAACATTCTCCTTAGCATGGAAGGCAATATCAAGCTCAGTAAGTGCACTTTAGGTTTCTTTGGCAACATCGCAAAATCCCGTTCCGTTTGAAAATCTTTTTTTTCTCTCTATCGGTTTGGTCCACGCTGATGCGGTTCCGTACTAACCCATGAGCTCAATGTAGCTGATTTCGGATTCTGTGCGACAATCAACGAAGCTCAAAGTAAGCGCACGACAATGGTTGGCACGCCTTATTGGATGGCGCCCGAAGTTGTGACACGTAAAGAGTACGGCCGCAAGGTGGATATTTGGTCACTAGGCATCATGGCCATTGAGATGATTGAAGGAGAACCTCCCTATCTTACCGAGTCTCCCCTTCGAGCACTTTGGCTCATTGCGACCAACGGCACGCCACATATCAAGGATGAGCAGTCGCTCTCGCCAGTATTCCGCGACTTCCTCTACTTTGCTCTCAAGGTAGACCCGGAGAAGAGGGCCAGCGCCCATGATCTGCTAAGAGTAAGTTTTGATTCGTCCCGTTACATTGAGAACAACTATCTGCGGCTTTCCATCTTTTCTTCCTCGCTGG